GGCAGCGGCAGCAGCGGCGGCGGTGGCGGTGGCGGCGGCGGCGGCGGCGGCGGCGGCGGCGGTGGCGGCGGTGGTGGTGGAGGCGGCAAAGCAGGGACGGACAGGCGCGAGGCGCCGTATCCGTGCCACCTCAGTCGACGTCAAGCCGTCGCGACGACGCGTGCGTGTCCCATTCTTCGTCGGTTCCACGGAACTCGCGGGATTCGCGTGTTCCGCGCTCGCGACGCGACTCGACACGACACTCTCGCGGTAAGCGCGCGAGCCCACCTGTTCGCGTCGGCGAACGCGATCGCGAAGGGCGCGTTTGGTGCCCTCCGGCAAGTGTGCTCCCCCTTTCCCGGTTATCGCTCCCCCGAGCCCCTCCACCCGCCTCCCCCGCACCCCGTTCTCGCTGAACAAGTGCCCTCGACTGCTCCGAGATCGTCGACGCGCGTGGCCGCGAGAATCGTCACGCGGGTATCACCAGGTACTCGTCGACCTCTGCGTCGCGGTGAGGTCCTGTTCTCGATGAAAAGCACGACTGTCCGGGTGCTTTCGATCGTCTCGTGATAAATAGAAGAATCGCCGAAGGCTCCTCTTGTGTACAACTGACTCGTGTTATACCTTCGGTTCGCACGCGGATCGGAACGAGGAGGAGCAACGACCCCCCGGGTGATCCATTAGTCAAGTTTGTCTCGTGGTGACTGGTCCGCGATCGGCGAAAGGATTATTGAAGACGGACCCGTGTCTCTATCGGTTGATAGAACGATATCATCCTGTTTGCGCGTCCGTCCTCCCGGCGAAGGGCGCGACACGGTGCTCCGATAATCCCGATGGTAATCGAGTGACGTATCGATTGGTCCGCAAGATAATCATCGTGGGGGATCAAGAGCAGCTCCGGAATTCCCATCTAAACGTGATCGCGCGATGATTTGTAACTTGCCGCCGACGTGCCGCTGATACGTCTCGCTCGGGGAGCAGCAGCGACTCGCATCCACCGCGGAGAAGCTCGCGGAGGCCGCGGCGCTCTTTCCAGACTCGTCGATTACCAGCGCACGACAGCTTTGGATTATGACTGTTGGGTAGGTGGGATATTGTACGAGTCCGTATTGTCGGCCTTCCGGGACGTGCGATACGGTAACGTCGGTTGAAGTCGTCCGGCGGTTCGATTCGATAAGCGGTAACTGCGGACAGCTGTTTTGGGCCGAACATGTGCGGCGGCAGAAGTGCCAGGCGTTTTCGAGTCGTTCCCCCATTTGTGCGCCGCGAATTCCCGCATTCCATACCGGTTCTATTAATGCGCGACACGCGGCTTTTACATCGCGCATTCCCTACGTTTTCGCCCCTCGACCCCTCGCCCCTCCCGACTCGTACGGTCTCGTACGTGACACGTGACACGTTTAACAGCGTTTAGCGCACGCCACGGTCTAATGTGACTTCAAACGTGCCACGGCGGTGCCGCACGTTCCGTGTGAATTTCCAAATCTGAATCACCGTGACGCCGCATGAACGTCACGAGGGACGGAAGGGGAAAATGAGAGGCGTCGTTTCCTAGCCTTCATTTTGGAGCTAGTCTTCTTTCTCGAAAGAGAATCGTTGGCCCAAAGTAGAACAGGCTTTTTACTTGTTTATGGAGTATCAGACACGTTTGGGAAAATCGTATGAAAGGTGTACGAACCATCACGTGCCACCTTTCTCCGGCAGAGAACAAGTTGACGCCGGATTCAACGGTGTTCCGCCGAACGCGCGCCTTTTCATTCATGAAAGTGCATCGATCATGCCGGCGCGACGAGGCGTTTTACCGCGGCGGAGTTTAGCATAACAATCGAGAAGACACTCGCCGGGCGTTCTCGATTGGCGGAAAATCGCTGATCGTTCGCGAGAGCCGAAATCTTTTTCTCCCGCCGAAACGCTCGGCTCGAATGCAGAAGCTCGCTTTGAAATCGAGCGGTCGAACGGAACGAGATGACCTTATCGATTGTTAGCGCGCGGTGTCCTTGAGCTCGCACGAGGCCAGTCTGGAAGAGGCCGGACGTTTACGCGCGCGTTGCTCGAAGTTGTATCGCGGTTTCGCACAGGCCCGGCCATTCTGTCGAAACGTCGCGCGCACTCTTTTGTTCCTTTATGTAATACTTATTAATAGCAAATGCCCGGCAATTGTTCGCGCAAACACGTCGCCGTTGACCTTCTCTACTTGTCACGGGAGCGCGCTCGCCGAGTTCGCCAGTTGTTACTCGGAGTCGTATCGATTGCGCCGCGCGCTGGATCGTCCGCTTCGTTATACGCTACATTGGACCCCGTCACGCGCGCTACACACCGACAATGTTAGAATTATGAATGCGACGCATTCATGAATCGGGGCATGCCGGCGCGTCGCGATGGACGCGCGCGTCTATAAGCCGTTTGTTTCGGAACCGGCATAATTTACGTTCCGATAATCTAACTGTCGCGCGTTTCCGTAGACATCGGCTGAAGATAACCGAGGTTTAATTGATCCTCTCTCTAACTCGATCTCTATAAAGCCCGGGTGCGTGGCAATCCAATTAAACGTAGTTCATTCTAACTAACGTGCACAGTAGCGCACTGGAAACTTACTGGAAACCAAAGTCCGCCCGTCTTACGTGCATGCCAAACGCACGAGTGTATTATTGAAAGCGTTACTTCTAATTTATAATTGCCACGAATAATTCCGTGTCTCGAAAGTTTAAGAGACGCAAGAAATGGAATGTTTTGCTGTGTTGTTGCTCATCGTTTAAAAGCTACAACAGACCATTAGTTAAATATTAAGCAGCCGAGGATAATCGGGATGTTCAAAGTTTCATAGTGAGACTCGTGGCCGCCGGCTATAGACGGTACACGTGTCACATCGGACATCGTGCACCGGTGCTATAGCTGCAACGCGCCGCGATTAGGTCGATGAGTTTTCTTCTGACTGATGAAGTTCAATTCTCCCTTGAGCCAACGGCACACGCTCTGGGGAAAAAAGGCAGTTAAGCAACCCATTTTGGGGCCCACAATTAGTAATCAAATTATTTGGATTGTTCGTAATTCTACTCTGCGAAAAATTTGTATTGTTTTTTTGTAGTTAAGCAACTTAACCGAGGGGGAAACCGCTGAAGGTGTGGTGTACAGATTTCCGGCACTTCTGGGCATTACTAGGCATTTTTGGGGCATTAGTTTAGGCATTGGGCCTTGCTGGAGCATTATAGAGATAAATTAAGATAAAATAACATAAAACAAGATAAATAAAATCAAATAAGATATTGAGATAAAGTAATGCCCATTGGGCATTAGTGGGCATTGGTGTACAAGATTTTGGTCAGCGGTTTCCCCCTCGAACTTAGCATTTCAGTTAGTGCGTTTTAAATGAAAATTATCTTTGCGTTACTGAATATCGACAGAACCAATTGGGAGAATTGATTAGTATTACTTTAAAATCTTGCACTGTGAAAAATGTCCGATTAAATATAATCGGATAATCCAATTACATAATAACAAACGGATTTGATTACTAATTGTGCGCCCCAAAATGGGTCGCTTAACTGTCTTTTTTTCCCAGAGCGATACTATTTTTCCTACTGGATTGCTTACGAGAACCAACAAGGATGCAGAGTTTTAGATCAGACTTAAGGCTAAATCCTGAT